CCATCATGACATAATATGTTTGAATATGTACCACATCACAAGTAAAGCATTATATTTTATTTATTTTTCAAAGAAGATGGTCACATATAAGGACTCGTTTTACGGAACATTTACAAATGTATAATAATACTTTAAATGTCCACGATACAACTGGATAAACTCCTAAAAGTTATGCTCAATAAAAATGTTTCATTTAGTTTGAAATATCTGTCAAAATTGCAATATCCAATTCCTTTTAAATAAGAGGAGTAAGCATTCTCTGTAGATCGACCAGTCACATCCGCAGTGAGTCCTATGTAGGCACTGATAAAGTAGACGGAACATTCCATGGTCGAATTCGGTAGAATTCAAAGAAAAAGACCTTACAATGAAACAAGTTAGCCAAAATACAACCAAATAATAGGCTGTATACGCTTATACGATTAGTAAAACGACAACAGAATTTTTGAAATTTAACCGAGGTTGTTGAAATTCCTGTAACATCAACTTATCTGTCAGTAGCCTGTCTCGGTTAAAAATTGATTGAACATGCATGTGCTCTTGAATATCGTAAACGCATATGCAGATGAATCTTACTTCATACATAAGGAAAGTTGACGATTGAAAAAATTAAAATCCTCCCGTTTATCAAACATACTAGTTGATTACTCAGTTGGCAATCGTCTTTATTCAGTAAAACAAATCAGATTTCAATCTAAGGTAAATGACATGGTAACGATTTGTTTACAATAAAATCGATTGAAAAGCAGAGTAAACAATAATAAACGGATTATATCTTGCATCACACAGACACACTAAAGTATAAATCAAATATTATAATGTTCTTTAAAGGTTTTTAACAACAGATGATTGAACTTGTGACTAGAAAAAAAGTATGCCCATGGACACGTCCACTTGAAAAATGATAAATGAAATTTCCTTTTTGAAAAAATAAACAGCATTTAAAAGTTTTACTCAGGTATACTTTATCTATATAGTATATAAGAAAAACAGATCGTTAAAAATTCTTTGCAGTATTACGAAAGGTATTATTTTTAAATTTGATAAGGATCCAAATTTGACTGAACTAGATCTGAAATCTTCAATTGTTTCCTTGTCATACATAAGAAGAAAGCCAAGGACGTATGTACGAGGGCTGTTCAATAAATAATGTCCTCGGTGCTCAGAAAGAAGCAAAGGACACTTTTTAATGATTTATTCTTCATGATTTTACTAATTAATCTTTTCAAAGTAAAATACATGTCCGTAACATTTTTTTATTTAATTTCTGATCGTTTGTAGAACTCATTTTTGGGTATGACCCTCAGTATACTGGAAAACGGCAGATCCAATGATTTCCCGGACTTGATTCATCCTTCTGAAAGGCATATTTTCTAAGTTTGGAGATAGAAACAAGTCAAAAGGTCAAAGATGTTGCAAAAATTGTTAATGTGAAAAAACATTAACTTTCTGTTTATCCCGAAAACCCCTTTACTCTTCAGGGCATGCGGGTTTTGTCACTTTCTTGAAGAAATTCAATGTAGTTGATTCCTGATTGTGGGCCCTTCTAGTAATAAACCTTTTTATTTTTTGACCAAAAAAGTGCTTTCTAGACTCCTCCAGAAATTAAACTGTCTCTCTGATTACGATTTTGAATAACATTACCACTAATGTTTAAGAAAATTACATGTAATAGTGTCTTTGTGCTCTTGCATACCTGTGTACTTTTCAGAAATTCGCCGTTTTTATCAAGTACATCTTATGATAAATTTAGTTTTTAGGGTTTTAAGCAATAGATTCATGTTCCAATATTTGTTTGAAAATAAAACAAACGTGGATAACTACAATTACTGATATTTTAAAATAATTGTTAAGAATTTCGTACACGCTGTCATTTTGACTAATTTTTCAAAATATAGGGTGACTTTTGAGTATCAAGCTTTTTTTACCGCCAAACGTTTCTTAAAAACAGTGTAAATTACCCCCGATGTGATGTCTATCAAATTTGCTATGTGTCTTAAAGTCAATCATACATCATCAAGTATTATTTGTTGAAATTTGGTGAACAGTACATAAGTTGTTATAATTTTTGTTGGCAAGGAGGGTACCTATTTTTGATGCCCATTATATAATTTTTTATCATTGAAATCCACCTGCTCTTTTGCCTATAAAACAGGCACTGGTTGCTGTAAACGTCACATATTTCAGTTAATATTTCTTTGGGATTTTTAACAAGTTTTACGGCAGCCTAAATGAAGCCTCTATTTTCACCCTAGTTTACTGATTGTTTACCATTTATTTATAATGCAGTGTCTCGAAAAGCCCTTGTTTCCCAGCTTCTCATGATGAAACTATGTGATGAAAAGTGGTCACATAAACTGTTATAAATTCACGAAAGATTAAAAAATAAAGGAAAGTCAAGTTTTATGTCATACGATATCTGTAATGTATGTCATATAGTTCAGGACATGATTTATTGAACAGCCCTCGTACATGTATATGAACATAGTTAAGGTTACTGTCCTTGCTATTGTGTTGTAAGAAAAAGGGTCTTTAGAATACACATATTCAATTACAACTGGCCGATAAAAAGGTTATAAAAATAGACGACAAATCACAGATTTGGTTAAGCTTGAGCATTAATCAATTGTGTTTTTTATGAATACTAGGTCACTTAAATCGATGCTTCTCAACATTTCTTCAATAATCAACGACTTGAGAAAACATCTACCATAACAACCAAGGAATACGTTTTTCTCATCCATGGACACTTTCAGAATAAGAGACTTGACTATCAAATACATTAGAGTTAATCTTACTGTGCACTCTATAGTTAATCCCAGAAGATACATCACTCAGTCCGTTTTGGACATATTATTTCGAAGAGTAGCAATTGTTGTATAGATGTATTTATATGGTCAAAAAAGAGACTACTACATGTATACATATTCAAGTGCAAAATAAATGCATTTTACGTAACATGGAATGTACTTGTATTTTTTAACATATATGCAGAAAGACGCTGCCGTGACTAGTTAAGTTTTTGCACTGTAAATCATTACTGGTTCTTCTGATTTTATCTTCGTTGTCTGGGTTCCCTTCTGCCATGTGTCCTTTCAGAATATCAACCTTAAAATTAAACAGTCTCTATTAATTTTACCAGGTGTATACCGGGCGTGGCTCGTAATCAAGTGGATGACACATGTTGACAAAAATAGAAACATTTCTTGCACTCTCAGAACTATATTTAAAATATGTTAGCATTTCAAAATGGTCAAATGATACAAGACAGTCTCTTTGCAAATTATCTTTGCGACGGGGGTTCATAATTATTATTGCACTTCATTTGGATATCTTAAAGTTTTTCTTCATGTCCAAGGTTTTAAAATTGAAATACTCAGTAACCAGCCACAAGTTTGGAGTCATAAAGAGCTATATGGCGAGGCATCAATTTTTGGGTTTTCGTGTATAAAAAGGTTAGTCTTTTTACCTTTCAGGCTCTTATATAATATAGATTCAAAACAAATATTTATATGTTTACTTTTTACAAGTTAACGCATGGGTTATACAGGGAAAGAAAGTGTTCGTGTTCGAATTGCAATGAAGCAATAATACTCTAAGTGCTGTTACTATATTTTTTACAACGTGTTCATTTCAATGCGTGTTAAACAATCATGCATTATCTTTTCTTGGCACATATGTGTATATTTATAAATCCAGTGCAAGAAGGTTGTAAAATCAATTATGGTTTAATATTTTAAAAGAAGTCATACAAATAGAATGTTTTATGAGCATTGATTTGGCATTATTTATAGTAACATTGATAAAATGTATTCATGTTAACAATGTTTGCTGGGTTGTTAATACACTGTAAGACATATGGGTCTGAGTTATATGATTCACATTGATACTGAAAAGAGCCTTAAACATGCAAAATAGAAGAAGAGTTTTTGTTAGATATAAATATTTGAAAATAATCATGAATTTTGTTACCGAGTACTTGGAATTTCTTGTGCATAACAAGATCAATATGCTTACACTACGTGCACCTAAATTTGATATTTATCTCGTTTATATATATACTACAAGTAAATGACGAATCAAATCCACTTGCACATACGTGTAACTATTTAAACATTGCCATATAGGCAAGTTTCGGTATTGATTTTATTTCGTTTTCTTGGTCCATTAATACCCCTACACTGTATACAAAAAAAAATAGCATGCAGAAAAAAATATATACTTTTTACAAATGATTATCTAAATCGTCACACAAACAATTTAAGAATGAAACAACATATTTCATACAAGAAGAATATTAATGCATAAAATCCTAACACAAAGGAAATGCCCTTTTCTATAACTAGTATTTTCACGATTCTTTCTGAAATTTTGTCTTCTTTGTAATACACTGATAAAGGAAATCATCTGAAATGTGTTGTTTTTGTAAAAAGAAAATATTGCCAGCTAAAAATAGTAAAGTCGACAAAATCTACATGGTAGACTTATTAAACGGAAAAAGAAACACCAAAACACAGATAAAAAACAATGAACTAAACTCAGACATACATGTACATGTGTAATACAGTTTATATTACAAAGTTTATAATAATTAGCTACCATGATAACAATATAATGGTTTATTAACAAATTCAGAACATACAGCATCAATAAGAATACTCTTTAAAAAATAAGTTTATGAAAATCTTACGTCTTCTTTGATAAAAATGGAAGCAAAATAAAGGTTAAAGAGAGTATTAAGGATAGGTAAGTAAGTACAAATATTTAAAAATCATTTTATATACTGCATGTCAGATTAACCAATCCATTTGGACCCTTCAAGTTAGAAAAAAATCAAAACAAAACAAGAGCTCATGACATACGCCAAGGATTCAATTGTCAATTGACATACAGAGAAGGAATTATACTAGCCTTAAAAAGCTTATAAAATCAAATACAAATTGAACAAATTAGTTAAAATAGTTTAACAATATATAATTATATATTAATACTGTGTAATAATAATAAAACGTTCTGTATACATGCTTTGAAATGTTCAAAGCGAAAGTAATATTGCCTATCTTTGTTGATTGTGCAACAATGAAACTAAAAAACCATACAATCAAAGTAAAAACACAAAGATAAAAAGCTAATACATGTATTTACCTGAAAGACAATATATATCACAGCATAATTTGTATAACAATTTTTGTATAAAGACGTATATATATATACACACAGTGCACATTAACAAAAAGTATCATAACATATACAGACCAAATACATTGGCACTGGGGTTTTTAAACTGTAAAGTATGGCTAAGTTTGATATAAATTTCATCTTCTTGATTCAACAGAAAGTCAGCACCCAAATAGATGTGTTGATAATTGTTCTGAGGGCTCAATACTGCCCAGTTAGACAGAGGCCGACTCAATAAGACCTCTTCATCTTTTAATATATTGTACTTCATAATTACAATAGATGCCTCTCTTGTATTGTTTAAAAGAGAGATATCAAACATTGCATACACGTGATATACACCAGCCAATGGCACAACTAAACGACCATGACGTAATGCCATGCCATTGATGAGGTAGCACATATTGTCATTCCGCCATGATTTTACAGTTTTCATGTTTGACGTTTTATCTTGATTATTTTCTGTATCCCCTGAAAGTTTTGCTGCAGGTTTATAGTAGGATGACATACCATAGTAGCTGCTAGGGATTCGGTTGTCTGTAAAAAGCAGAATATATTTGTTATAACATTGTTTTCATAAAATCAAACAAATCATTTTTCCATTTCAATCAATTTCGCCATAATTATAATTTTACATTTATCTATATATTTACTGTAAATAGTGTGTTTTTCTTCAGAATTAAAAATTGTGTACCTGAAAATCCTTTGTATTTCCCCGATGTCTCTGTAGTTCTTTCATAGAGCTGAAAAATATATGAATCAGGTACAATATGTCAACTTTCTTACTAAGTTACAACTTTTCTAATTAAGCAGTGAGAACTATACTCATCTTTAATATCAAGTCAAAAATCTCTTAATATTATAATTTAGACAAATTCAAGGCCTTTGGCAATTTTTAACATTCATTGATATGTACATACATGTACTTACTGTACACACTCGTATGTACTTTGTTTAACGTACAAACCTTAGTAAGGTATCCCTGGAGCCCCTCTACTTGACAATCACAACACAACCCATTCTCTTCTGTTTCACAAGGTAAACACATCCGTGTACAGTTCTCGTACTCACGGGAAGGCATGGAGAATAAAAGTACAGAATTAACGACCAAAACAGCAAGGTTTACAGCTCCTATCAAAATAGCTAGAAAAGAAATAAACATGGCCGTGTTGGTCATTTTGAGAGTTAAAGGTAAGGTTTGTATACTTCGTACGCATGATTAAATCGACATGCATGTATATTCTATTTTTAGACGAAGCGTAATGTTCTATACTCATCTATACAAAAATTCCTTTCAGGTTATCAGGTAGGTGTGAAGTGTGAATCATACTTTGTAGAAAAAATCTTTACTTCTTTTTAGTTGAAATTGTTCTATTCATTGTGTAATTTGAATATTTTTTTACACTGAATTGTAAACTATAAATCATAATAAATGAGAATTATTATAATGTATTCAACTTCAATTATTATTTCCATACCCAAATCTGAAAGTTTCGGTTGATAACCTGAAAGAAATATACCGTGCATCCTCGGTTTTGTCATTGTGTGCCCTTCATATAATATTTTAACATTCAACGAGCCGAAAAAAGATGTAAAGTTGTTTCAAGGTGGAATTCTACATTAACATTACGAAAATGATGTAAGGGAATAATTTTAACGTTCAGATGAATGGGACCTTTCAAGTTATTTTTGTGCAGTTTATACTAGTGTACCTTTTCAGCTTAAACCTTAGAGACGTCTAAAAAGACTTACATATGTAAATGTAAATAACTGAAAACTACTGAAGAGGAAAACACAAATATATGAAATGTGTACTGTTTCATGACGTGTACAAAAGTATTGTATTATTAAGAATTTGTAGTGTTTCTTTTCATAATTCATAAATAAATACTACACAACCATGCAAAACGGTAGAGAAAAGTAACACAAGCATGTACATATGTTTCCATCATTAAAGAAAAAACAAAGTTAAGAACCAAAAAAAAAAAGATTAAGCTGTAAATATAATAATGTTGTCATTGCCAGTGCAAATAATAATCACAATAGTTACATTGCAGATTGCAGGTTATCTATTGTACAAACAGAAGTACACATTCAGTTAAAATAACTTTCTGTGATTACCCCTCTCAAATCCCCTAAGATCTGCACATCAAAAGTCTTCATAAAAAATAATACAAAAAGTCATGTATTTCTTATTTTGGGACTTTTCCCTTACTAAAAATACATTTATATACCACCTTGGAGCTTTACAACTGAAAACTATAGTGTCAGGGCCATATGTAAAAGTAGTATTCTGTGATCGGACAAAAGTTTCTTTTCAGTACGAGTCATCAAAACACATTTACAAGAAGTTGTTACCTTCTAAACACTATGTCATCAGGAGGAACCCCATGCAATTACTAAATGGGACATTTTAAATGCCAGTAGAGCATATGTTGCATAACTTCGCTATTAGACATAATTATGTATGCAAGTACAGAGTACGTTGAATTATTTTACATAGAATGTAAAAGGCGAAGATCAACAACAACAGTCAATCTCATAAATGCAGTTTAGAATGCGAAACTTAAATAGTGGGAAAACACAGACAACAGAAAGCACTAGGGCTGAGGGGATCAGGTGCCTTGGGGGAGAGATGAGTGGCGTCATGTAAATGTTACAAACTGTGTGTCATTACAAATGAAAGAAATTTCATATACAGACATTCCTGTCAGTAGCAAAGTTGTGTTTATGTTACGAAACATTTTTCTCTTATCAGTAACCATTTGTAACACAAGCCATTGTATCTTTACAAGAGAAATCGAATTTACCTGACCCTGGATTACAAACATGCATGTCAGTGTATTATACAAGGCCAATAAAAGAAACATGCATGTCAGTGTATTATACAAGGCCAATAAAAGCAAAATGTGATCTCAAAAATTTAGGAAATTGTGTTCTTTGGTCATAAGCTATGAATTTAATCTAGAAAATGTTTTTTTTTGTTATAAATGTATTATATTCTATGTTGATCTCGATTTTTTGATTTTTCAATAATGCATTACATTTTGCATCGTTATTACGTTTAGCCTTGTAGCATTGCATATAGATAAATCTTTCAAAAAAGAGAGAGAAAGAATAGAAAAGGACGTGTCATTAAAATAAGCAACAACTTGTTGAGATGACCAATGTAAATGAAGAAAGTAGCATAAAATATATACAGACACAGTATGAGTACAACAGTACATGTAGACCAACGTTGATACAAGTCAAAGACATGTTTCTTTAATAAAATACTAGTATGAAAAAAAAAATCACAATTACAGTGTAAGTTTGAATTCATTCTTACCTGCTGAGAAAACGTATCACTTCAAGATCGCTTTATGGAGAAAGGTGTACGATTGGATAACAAACAACTAGAGAAAACAACATCAATACTAATGGTATAAATTTAGCTCATTTCCCTAAAAAAAAACGAACCAGCAATATATAATCTTAATATATATATATTTCAATTTCATTTGAAATTTTAATATAAAATGACAAAAAAAGGTATAGAAATCGCGTTTTCATTACCGAATGGTGATCATTTGCACAATGTGGAGAAAGTGTGGACTCTCTCTCTTTAAAAGAGGTAAGATTTTTTTCTCGTCTTGTAATCTAACGGAAATAGACGAATTTTATATCCAAAACAGTTGCATATTTATGTTCCATAAACTTCTTTTTATGATAAAACAATTTAGGAATCGGGAAATTAACGTCAAAATGACAATTGGCTCGATTATACAAATAAAGGCATCCATATTAGTCACTGATAATCGGGGTGTTGTTAACTTTATTTCTTGAACCTTTTCCAAAACCAACTAAATACATACCACAATGTAATAACCCCCTAGAGGTGTTTAACATTACAGAGTGCAGACAAGTCATTTTGCAAAACACGGCAACAGGGTTTTCCTTTCAATAACCTCCGTAGCAATTAAGTACATGTTTCTTAAATATATATAGATATTCCCGACAGTAGAAAATTTGATCAGATTACATTTTTCTATAACCAGCAATCATTTGACAAAGCATTTTATTTTTCATAAGACTGGCATCACTCTAGAAACTAGCATAACATGTATATCAATGTCTTAATTATACAGGGATAATAAAGGGAAAAAAAAAACCTCTTAATAATGTCATCTCAAAATTTTATAAAATTATGTAAGTTTTTGCTTTTATGTACCCCTCCAAATCTTAACAAAAAGAGTTTGCAATTTAGATCCTTTCTTTTAAAGGGGATCCTTTGTTTTAAAGGGAAAATTTACACATGTATGCATAAAACACGACAAAAAGTACACATTACTGTGTATCAATGTGAGGATTCTATATTTCATTGTTACAACGCAAAATGCAATAACGACAGAAATGCAATAAAGAAGGATAATAAATCAAGATTTCAAGTTAATTTTTTTGCGTTTATATTTCATTTATTCTGCGTTGATCTCTTATCAATTATATTGAAATAACGCAAAATATAATAATCTGAACAGAGTTAAATTTGCTTCGTTATTACGTTTTGCATTCAATTTGTAATATTTCATTTTTCTTTAAAAAAAAAAGAAAAACGTGACTCATTATCGAACTTATATAAATGAAAGATAAAAAACTGAGAAAACGAACGTAGAATGTTTACAGTGTTACATTAAATATTAGATCATGGTAGCAAAGGTATCAATGATTGCTTGTCAAAGTCAGGTTTTTTTCAAAAATACATGTAATAAATAACAAAATAACAAATTACAATGAAGTTTAAATTCACTTATTCCTGCTGAGTAAAGATGTCACGTCATGGTCGGTTATATTGTGCGAACATCAATGGCAATGAATTTTGCCCATTCCCAATATCATTCTGTTCTTACTCGGACATAATTATATAAATCCAGAATGCTTCACATTTTATTGTGAGAGGAATATCAATATGCATAATTAGGAACAAAATTTTAAAAAAGTCTCATAAATCATGCTTTCATTTCCGAATCTTGCCCACTTGCAAAAAGAAGAAAATGTGGACTCTCTCTTCAGAGGTAAGTCTTTTTTCGTCTTTTAATTAAAAAGATTGATTTGAAACATATATATGCGAAACGTATATTTTAATTTTATTTTTCCACTGAACCTCTTTTGTTAACATTATGATTGATAAAACAGTTTAACTGTCAAAATATTAGATAAATATATATCTCGATTACACAAAAAGCACTCATATGAACCTTGATAATTTGATACCTTGTGTTGTTAACTCCATTTGTTGAACATTTTCCAAAATCAGCTTGGTACATACTACAATATAGTAATCCCCTACAGGTGTTTAACATCTAAGAGTGCAGACAAGTTGACATTTTGCAAAACATATACGAGATTTTTTTCTTAATTAAGTATCTTCTATATAGCATTCCGGTTTTGAAAAGAAAATTTAACCACTGCGAAAAAGCAGGATGCCAGTGATTTTCTATTCTGTGTAATGCCTGATGCACTTGGCCATTTGACACCCGACCCCTACACCTCATATTTTTCCTTGTGTAAGACATTGCAATTTTTCAATAAATGATGCAACATTGAAAAACAAACACCTTGGTGACGATTCAAAATAAAGATTTTTTATATATATATATATATATATATATATATATATATATATATATATATATATATATATATATATATATATATATATATATATATTAACTTTTTGTGACAGGCCTTACCTAAAAATTTGTATTAATTTAGGAGTACGTGAAACTGTATATTAGTACCATAGACAGAAGAAATGCTTTGCCAGGATTTCACCTATGTTCTGGCAGAGTACTGTCACAGACTGAGACATGGAGAGAGGGAACATTCACGAGACACAATGCTTTATGTTGAAACATATTAACAGATCTCCCAAAAATAGACATTTACTCATACATGTATCTCGTGAATCACTTGATATCTTCAGTTATTCACTTAAAGGAATAGTACATCTTTGACTAGAGTTTACTTTGAGAAGACGAATGGTATAAAGAGGACCACTGTAAGTACATGTACGAGTATAACACTTAACATCAAAAGCACGCACGTTATATAGGGGGTGGGGGTGTAGTGACCCCCTCTTTTCCCAAATATAATACATTAATCATTAAACTGTAAAAATGTTCATTAAATTGTTAATGTCTTTTCATGACAAAGAAGCTGCATACAACCCTCAGCCCCTTCCTTGCTTCAACTTTTTCGAGATCGGACAATTTTTTTTTGCTTTTCATTTAGGTATAGTTATCATTTACTTTCCCAACTGAACTCCTTCTCCTCCTCAGTTTCAAATATAAACATTTGACAAACATCGATATAGTTCCTTTTATTTTCAATATATTGTAACGAAACCGAGGGTATCGTGTAATAAACTCGTGGGCCGCTATTAGTTTTCTGGTCACTTGGTCGAGATTTGATGGTTCCGTTGGTCACAGTTTATGTAATGGTTAATAACCAATTTTTGGTCACTTAATTGGTAAACGGAATGACCAACTTTTGGTCACTTCTTTGGTTGACGTAATGACCAACTTTTGGTCACTTCTTTGGTTGACGTAATGACCAACTTTTGGTTACTTCTTTGGTTGACGCAATGACCAATTTTTGGTCACTTTAAATAATGTTTGTTAGGAATAACACTTGTTAAAAGTTTATAACATTTATTAAGACGATCAAATGGTTCACTTATAAACACACAAAATGGTACACTGTAACTTGGTCGGTACAACGTTATTTGGTTCACAGAAAGGTGACCAACCGATGGTCAATCCAGGACGTTCCTAATAACTTGGTTCCCTTTAATGGTTTCGTATACATAGACTTGGTACCGTCTTATAACCGAAGTATACGG